AATAATAAACGATAACGTTATTATATCGGAACTAAAACGTAATTTATACCGATAAAATATCGGGATATTACAATCCTCCCTCCTTACAAAATTTCCGTCCTCGGAAATTCGAAACATAATTTATATACATGAACTATGTACATAAGATAAAAGAATATGTACATCAAAACTGGAAATCTGGAAAACGAGCGCGAATGTCGGACTCTTCCTCCCAGGTAGTTCCGTGGCGATCCCACTGGATACGCACAAGGGGAATATCTCGCTTCCGGAGCCGACGAACCTGACGGTCTAGTACAGCTACCGGTCGCTCCTCGTACGTAAGATCTGGCTGAACCTGAATATCTGTGTGAGGGATGACATGACCGGGGTCGCACACGTACTTACGCAACATCGATGCGTGAAATACATTATGAATGCCTGATAACTCGGGAGGTAGGGCTAGACGATATGCGACCTCGCCTACTCGATCGAGAACCTTGAACGGACCGATGAAACGAGGGTGCAGCTTCCCTCTTTCCGAATCGCACAACTCCGCGAATCGGACGAACTCTGAGAAAGGCTGGCTCGCCAACCTCGAACTGAATGTCTCGTCGATGATGATCGGCGGAAGATTTCTGTCGACTTTGAGCTGTCTTGAGTCTCTGCCGGATCAACTCGACCTGCTCTGCTGTCTCCTCGATCATCTTAGGACCGAGTACTCGTCGCTCTCCAACGTCGTCCCAATAAAAAGGGGAACGACACTTGCGACCATAAAGTGCCTCGTAAGGAGCCATCTGAATAGAAGAATGATAGCTGTTGTTATACGCGAACTCTGCGTATGGCAACAGTGACTCCCACCTGGCACCCCTGTCAACGACCAAGGCGCGAAGCATATCCTCAAGTGTCTGAATCGTCCGCTCTGACTGACCATCTGTCTCCGGATGGTAGGCTGAACTAAACTCAAGCTTTGTGCCCATCGCCTCATGTAAGCTGTGCCAGAATCGACTGACGAATCTGGGATCTCTGTCTGATACAATCGGGACGGGCACTCCGTGGAGTCGGATGATCCCACGAGTATATATCTCAGCCAACTTGTCCAGAGACATCTTCATCGAAACGGGTAAGAAATGAGCGACCTGGGTCAATCTGTCGACCACGACCCAGATAGCGTCGTGATGTTCAGACGACCTCGGTAATCCCGTAACGAAATCCATAGTGACTTCCTCCCACTTCCACCTCGGAATCGGCAGTGGCTGCAGGAGGCCAATCGGACTCTGATGCTCGACCTTGACTTGTTGACAGGTAAGACACCTTCTAACGAACTCGGCGACGTCTTTCTTCATGCCTCTCCACCAGAACGACCCTTTCAG